AATTTGACTCCAAAGTTTAAGCAGTTGAATTGGCTAATTCTGAATACAGTCTATTGAGAGACCAGACACAGCAGTATATCCCTGTATAGCAATAGATACAATGTGCTGAATTGGCAGTCTAATTATAAATGTGGCATTTGGACCTCCTTTCAGACCCAGTGCCACCTTACCTTATGAGGGAACTTCAACTACAGCAACTGTTCAAAACAAAATGCCATTACAGGATCAGCTTCACCCAACACTGGAACCAGCCAGGGGATTGTTTTACAAACAGCCTTTCTCACTTAACACAAGAATGTATTATAAGGAAAAGTTATGGATAGTGCAGAGTCTGAAGAAAACGCGTATGTAGTTTCTGCCAGGTGTCGAGCTACTTCAAACTGCAGCATACTCCAAATGACCTCATTATTTTCTTTTAAATGTACTCACTATAAATAATTATTTCTTAGTTTTACTAGAATGAGCTGCTAGGTACGCTTGGTGTTTATATTCTGAGAGTAGTGTGCATGTAACATCGTGAGCGCAGAAACACGCAAAATATCCTGGCTCAGAACAAAAACCTGCCATAAGATCTTGCCAAAGAATCATGGGGTGCTGAAAAAAGTTTTTTAAAGAGTCTTTTCCAGGGAAATATTTGTATGTAATGGCAGGGTACATGCACATATCTCACATTCATTCTTATTATTTACTTTATGGTATTATAATGGCTTAATTAAGTGAGTGGGCACAAGCACGTCAATAAAACAAGTCAAGTCAAGTCGAAGTCTCAAAACAGGTTTCAAAATTGCTCCATTACACGAATACAGAAAGGGAAATTCGTTAATTTTTGGACTTCAAACTCTGTTTGAGGACTGGATAGAACTGTTCGTCTGTCCTCAGGATCAGCACTGAAGACAGAAATAGCAAAAATGTTAAAATGAGGGTAAAAGAAAGCAGTAGAAACAAAGTGCCGCCCGTGTGCCGAAGGCTATTTAATTTGCTTAATAAACATATACCTTATCTACAAACAGCAGGCGAAGATATATTACTTTATCACAGAAAGTTTCACCCTCTATGTTTTTGGGAAACACCCCTAGGACAGCACTAATCTGCAGTCCCCAGGCTCCCACTGGGCTGCTTTTCCCTGCGGGCCCTCCTCCCCCCCTCCGCCACTCAGACACAACACTAATTGTCCTTTCACGGTGCCACTTTCACTCCTTCCCGTCCTTTCAAAACAACAAAACCGCAGCAAACCCCACGGTGAGACGGCCCGCAGGAAGCAGAGACAGCGCTCGGCTGGACAGGAGGGGTGGCTGCGAGTGACCTCCGGGCCCTGCCCGGGCTCGCAGCCCCGCGGGCTCGCTGCTCGGGGGCTCCCCGGCTCGGGGACACGCTCTGGCAGCTCAGCTGGCAATGCACGCGTGGAAGTACCTGCTCACATCCCGCCTATCTGCTCTCCCTCTCACGTATCTACACCCAGCCGCGACCCCGCCGCCGGTACACGCGTACATGCATTACACGAGCGGGCAGCGCCGGTGCCCGCTCCTCCCCGGAGCAGGGCAAGCCGCAGAGGCACACTCATTAGCTCCCACTGATGATTCCTTTCAGGATCATGAATGGAACAATTGTCAAAAACTGCGGGAAAAAAAAACAAGCCCCGAGACTATTATATACAGACACAGCTTGTGTGCACGCATGTGACAGTTGCAGGCAACCCAGATTTGGTCATAAACTCTTCAGCATTATCCGAGATAAAACATCAAATTGCTTATACGGTTAAGGAGGTTTCTTATCCCCAATCAAAAAAATAAACAGCTTCGAAGGTAGTGAAACCCAGGAAAAGAACAAGCTCTTCACCAGACACACCTTGCCTCACTCGTATCCTGCAGCACCGCCTGTAAACAGCTGCGCTGGCTTGTTGCAACTGCCACTATTTTATTTTAAAAGAAGAATAACAGTAATAATAGTTAAGTGAAATACTTCCTGAAAACTTACTTTGCATTTAGTTTAGGCACTATTCTTTTTTTCAGCTCGCAAAGGAAGCCGTTTTGTCCAGGTTAGGTATTGTCTACTTATGGATCAGCCCCTGGCTAAGGGTTTATTTTAATTTATGGCTTATGCATTCTTTTAAGGTCGATTTGCATGACCTCCGGCAAAGAGCTAAGGCAGCAAGAAATCCCAAGTCGACTGTTGCCACAAAGCGGCACGCATCTCCCCTTCCCCAGGTGCAAACAGAGCTCTCTGATGATGGACTGCTCTATTCCCCCCTCCTCGTGTATCACAAATTAGGGTGCGATATCAATTTTAAAGTTTTCCGTATAACTTTATCCGAAGGCTCTGCTGGGAGAGATAAGGCGGCGGCGCAGCCCGGCGGCTCCTCGGGACAGCGCCGCGCCGTGGCCGATCCCGGCATTGCCGCCGCCGCTCCCGCAGCTTTGTGTGCCTCCCCGCACTCGTCCCTGGCCAACTTCAAAGCACTCACCCACCTCAAACTTAGCGGAGAACCTACAAGCACCACTAAAGTCCCTTCGCCTCTCTCCATCCCGCGTCTTTTGGGGTTACCAGCCGTGAGGAACCCACGCGAGCGCTTCGGAGCAATGACAGCAAGCGCTCCGCTCTCGAAGATTTATTTCGGATTTTATTTTTCCTTTCTTTCTCTCTTTCTCCCTCTCGTGTTAGTTCCTTACGTACAATATCTTCCCGCACCATGTGTTCGCCTGCCGTGGGTGATCTTAAAATACAACGCTGATCTGTCACTACATTTTAAAATAAACTCTACTCGGGAAGGATGAGAAAGTGTTGTGATTTCAAGGTACTGGGGTCCCTTAACGTCTCGGAAGCCTCGGGATTCAAACAGCCCCGGAAACACGCACGGGGACGAGACTATAACTACTTTTCCCTAAAGGGAAAAAAAAAAAGTAAAAAAACCCCACAACACCCTCGTGATATAAAAGTAAATAATCGTGCAGGGGGAGGCGGGGGGAAGGGGTGAATTCAGCAATGTTAAAAGCTAAACAACAGATCTATCTCCGGACGCTGCTGCTTCACTCAATTGCAACTAATAACCCATTAAAGACAGCGCAGGGGGAACCGGATTCTCTCCTGCAAAGCGACATAAATCCAGCGAAAACCCATTAAACCACCGCCACCGCCACCAAGCCACGCAGCACTACACACCACAGCAAACAACAGGTATACAACACAATAGGGCTGGTTTTCCTGGTTACCTCCTCGGGATCCAGTGTGGCACAAAGCACTGGGAGAGCCTCCTTTTTTTTTTTTTTGCAACGCGCTTCGGTAATTTTCATTAAAAAAAAAAAAAAAAAAAAAAAAGAGGAAGGTGAAGGGGGGAGGGAGAGAGGGAAGAGGAATAAATGGGTAGTAATTCGGTAAAATAAAATAAAATAAATGAACTAGAGTCTGCTGGTGTTTCTCCGGGCCATGGATGTGCAGGATCCCGATCGTTAGAAGTTTGCGGATGGGTTGCCTGGAGATTTGGTTACAATCAGGTTCATTTTTTTTTTTTTCCTCCTGAAACAAGTGAAGGCGATGGTTACTGCTGTCAATCTTGGCAATCAATGTGAGCGGCCATGTCGTAAGTATTCAAAGCATTTCCCGTCGTGCAACATCAGAAAGTGAGTGGCCAGGGCATTGATCTGAGGAAGGCAAAAGGAGGCAGGGCTCCCCCGCCCAGACAGCACAGGCAAGATGAGACAACACAGGGAGAGAGAGGAGGGAGAGGGGAAGGGAGAGAGAGAGAGGCTGGGAGCGAGCAGGGAGAGCAACAACTGCGGAGAAAGTGAGCACAAAACAGAAAGTGAAATCGGCGCGGGCTGCCAGCCGCATCCCCGCGCAGCTATCACCACTCACAGGGCCATTAGACACATGAAACCCTACACCGCTCTGCTCTCGCTAATGACCACTGATTGCCCGGAGTGGTGAGGAAAGGTACTAGAAAGTTACCGGGGAGGGGGTGCGAGGGCGGGGCAGGGGCCGGAAAAGGAGGAGGGGGAGCGGGGGGTCCCCAGGGGAGCCGGTTCGCGGGGCCGGGGCGGCGCGGGGGGGGCGGCGTGTGACACGGGCCGGCCCCGCCCTCCTCCCTCCCGCCCCCGCACCGCACCGGGTGCGTGGGGAGGCACACGCGAGAAGAGTCCTGCCGGGCTCCCGCTCATGGGTTACAATTAAAAAAAAAAAAAATTAAAAAAAAAAAAAAAGCTGGAGAAAGACGATGTGCAGGAGGAGGGAAGGGCTGGCGGGGTGTGGAGGGAGCGGGGACGAGAGGGAAGCACTCAGCAAGCGCTTACTGACAGCTGATAAATGGGACTCTGAAGAGCCCGATCCCGCAGCCCGGCCCGGGGGAAAAAAAAAAAACCAGATGAAATGGAAAGTATAAATTGCTCTAGAGATGGGAGTCCAGCTACAGGGACCCGGGGGAGAGGAGGCAGAAGGCACTCAAAGTCCACAAACTATTTAGTGATGTATTCAGCAGAAAGGTAAAACGTGAGTGTAGTGAAAAGGGAAAGACAGGTATGGCCGGAGAGGAAAAACTGATTTAGGACGGACTCGAGCTGAAGTTGGGATTCTCGTGGCGACGATGAGAAATTTTAGCAGCGGCACTATATAAATATCCCTCTCTCTGCCTACCAAAAGGCAACAGATAGGGACTGGAATATCAGCTTGAATACCAATTTAGGAACTCACGCTCCTTTGGAAGTGCTAATTGGGGAGGGGGGGGGCTGATCTGGGAAAAAGAAGGGAAAACTGTAAGGAGCTGAGGAGAAAATCAACCAGTGGCAGAGTACTGCAAACCCAAGAAAGTCTATCTGCTGTATTTTTGCATTCCAAAGGTAAACATGAAAGAGTCTTTCAAACTGTCAGGGGCCCGCAGATCAGGTGGGCAAACAGCGCTGCAGAGCTAACATCTCCCTCTTTTGATATTATTCACACCTAGGCTAAACTGTTGTTAAGATGGGAGTGCGGAAAGCAACCTCAAGCCCACAAAATGAGAGAGAGAGAAGTTGTTGATTCATCTCTGTATTTTTGGCACTTTCTCCCCGTTTTCCAGAAGGCGCCTGGAACAGTTAGTAACAGACAAACTTTTTAATTTTAAAATAGCTTCATAACTTATAGAGGCCAAAAAGACTAAGAGAAATCCTGATTTCGCTTTCCTCCTCTCTCAAGTAGAAATTTGTGGACTATGTTAGACCCAGAAGCACACTCAGCCCCACTGTGAATGAACCTTGCTTCATAAGGACGTGATTAAAATTGAGCATTAACGGGATGGCACAGGACAGACCTGACCTGCCTCTATTTCATTTAGTTAACAAGGTGTAAAACTCGACACACTACTGGAGTCATGCACGTTGCATCCTCTACCTTTGCTATCCGAGGTGCTATCGTCCCTCTCGAGTAGAGTCCAGGGAAAATGAGTTGTAAGTCAGAACCTCTTGAAATAATGGACCTATTTTATACAGTATTTTTGGGAATTACACTATAATAAAAGGAATAACCAAGTGCTATTCAGCAAGTAGCAAACACCTTGAAATAGAACTTTACAATTATCTAGTAAAGCTTTATCATCAAATTAACTGGATGAGGACATAGTAACTCATTTCCTTTCATTCTTTCAATTTTAATAAAAGAAACTTTAAAAATGACATTCAGAGACGGGGGAAATTGTATGACTGTAAATACTGAGTTTGTATTCACCTGCGTTTGGGTAATTCAAAATATGCACCTTGCTACAGTTATGTGGTGTATGGATTTAACAGCAGCAAATAGCTGCCTTTCCAGATATTGCTATGTCCTTTTTAATCTTTAATTATAAGAATTTCCGTAATTGGTCACTAACGCTTTCCTTGTAACACATTTAAACCTGCTTCAAGTAAAAGAAACACCTTGACTTCTTGCATAACTAGTAGCTTCGGAGCGGAAAAAAAAAAAAAAAAAAAAAGGTCTGTAAGAAAAGAGATGTAAATCAGAACACAAGGAAGAACTATCCTGCCTGAGTTTGCAACTCCAGCAATTTGTCAGTGGAAGTTTTTTTCTTTCAAGAAACAGACAGAAAGGGGGGAAAAAAATCAACTACTCCTCAAATGCCTCTAATGTAGCATTCTCCTTATTAAACACGAAGCGGGAATGGGACAAGAGATGATTAAGGCATCATATAAATCTAACCGCCCACCTAGCTCCAAATCGGGGCAGCATCCCACTGCACTCCCGAAAATCCAGTGCAAGGAATGACACTGGGCTGGGGCAGGACACCGCAGGGATGCGGCCACGCTCCCAGGCGGAGCGCAAGCAACGCTCTCCAGCTTGTTGCTTCCCCTGTGTGATCAATTAAGTTACAGATGTAACTCACAGTGCCGGAGAGCGACAACTTCTCGGCACCAGGAAAAGAGGATTCCTTGGGCATTGTATGCAAATGTGTGTGTGTGTGTGTGTGTGAGCGCTGCACGGGGATAATTGCGGTTCCCTCTTTGTTTGCATAAGTGAACACCCGCCGTGTAGATCCGTATACACGTGCCGAGAAACAAGAAAACGCTTTTACTTTTAATGTTACCCCACGTTTAGAAACCGCGTTTGAAATTACTTCCCTTGCTTTGGCTTCATTAAGGCTAAATCCAGGCAGCGCAGGCAGATGTTGAGGAAGGATGCTGACCTGCTGGAGGTCCCTGCAGAGGGAAGGGACCGGAGGCGCTCAGATCACGTCGGGACACTTACCTGTTCACAGCTGTCATTGCATTTTGCGCCGTCTGTCTCATTAAACACGTTAAAGTAAAGCAATATTCAACAAGCAAAGCAACCTGTCTGTGTGCTAAGTTGTACGTACCGCATCTTTAACATGAGGAGCAAACCTGCAACTCTTGTAGAGTTGGCGGGAGGGTCTCAGAAGTTTTTGATTCAAAGGGCAAGAAATGCCACTTTAAAAGTCATTCACCCACTTCTAAACTCCCCTCCCTCCCCAGTTAATGCCGGACAATTAAGAGGCATCTTTATAAATTCCCTCTGCGGACCCTCTCCGACAATGAAGGCTTTTTATAGGCTTGCTAAAGATGTTCAGAGAAACTTTTGCAAAATAATCAAGAGCATCAGAGAGAAAGCTAAAGGAAAGGAAGTTAAAGCCTGATCATCCGATTGGGAGAAAGTTTTGTTAGACTAGATAGAAGCATATTACTGCACGTTCCTTCAAAAGCAAAGCCATCAGCTGATACGAGTTCCCCTAGAACAAGAACCTCTGGCGATCTCCTCAAAATTTAGGGGACGTTTGTATTTTGTATTTTGTAACTCAAAGCTAAAGATCCGACTGAAAACAAAAACTCTGAATTCCTTACAGCGTCATCTGCCAACAAAATGTATTGTCTTGGCAGAAAGAGGATCAAGGAGATTTTAATTTAATTTTAAACTGTGCATCATCTTGACAGTGAAGGAAAAAGCCGCAGCAACAATCTCCCCACTCCACCCCCCCCCGTTCAAAAAAAAAAAAAAAAAAAGGGGGGGGGGGAGAGAACTGGAAAAACCACATAAACTTTTACAAAGAAAATAAAAGCAAGTTCGACATGAAAACCCCTTCCTGTCTCGGAAAGTTCATTTTAAAGGTCCCCTCTGTAAATCTAAAGTGCAAACACCAGGCTAAGGTAGTGAGTGGCTGGAATTTGCATGCTGATAAGAGAAGGCTGTTGTACTTACAGTGACAGAGGGCAGGCTGCGGAAGAAAAGCTGTTTGTGTTAGCCTGAGAGTCACCCAGGGCTGCAATGAGAGGAGAAGAGAGGAGTGGGAGTGCCAAGCTGGATACACCTTCACCGCATCTCATCACATCTGCCAGCCTCTCTCTCCCTCTCTCTTTCATTTCCACATTCCCTTTGTTCCTGAAAAAAAAAATCTACACGTCACATCAGTCCCCAGATGCAGTCTACACCAAAGAAAAAAAATGAATAATTCAATCAAACTGTGCATAGTCTCTAAGGCAATAAATCTATTGCACTTAAAGAAACGAAGGGTAATTACCGCTATAGAATTAGAATAAGGCCAGAGCGCGCAGGGATCCCAGGGTCTGTAAACTCCACGGTCAAATAAAGTTTCATTTATTTAATCCTTTGACATCCCCAATGTAAACTAAAGGGGAGGATCAGAACTTATTCCGGTTGGGTTTGAGAACGCCTGAAGTGAATGTTATAAAAGGAGAGCGCCCGTGATCTGTGACAAACACAATGCAAGGGAGTAGAAGTGTTTCACTGCATCACCTCCAGGGTCCGTTCCCCCCTCCCTAATGAAGAGCAGACCACACTCCCACTTCCACCGGCTTCTGCTGCTCGCTGCAAGTGCAGCGGGGATCACTGGCAGCCAGCAGCCGCCTTACCTGCTCCCGAGCGCCAGCACAGCCTGAGAAAAACTCAGGGGAAACGGCAATTTTGTTCCACGCTCTGGCGGAGAGGAGCCATGGGGGATTTGCACCGGCACGGATTTGACTCGGAACGCTGCC